TGGTGAGAGCAGCATCTTTCCTCTACGTGCCTGTACAAAGATGCAGGTGTGAGTGTCCAGTTGTGGAGGAGACAAACTTCAAGATCGCAGACCTAAATTATTTTGTTCTTGTTTCTGAATTGGGTGCTGGGTTAGTTCTCTGAATACCTTTCAGGGAGAAGAGACAGACCCTCTTAGCCCCAGAGTTGATGCTGTCCTGGATCCACTTTTCACTTTATAGGTTGGGCGTTTGAGAGAGAAAGACATGTTATGGCTCCCTCTGAGGGTCAGCCATAGAAGTCTGTCACCTTCAATAATAACTCATGTGCAAGCCAAAGACCACACCTGTGGTTATTGTGGGATCATCAATCACTGTGTGATTTCAAACAGGCTACTTTATTAGTTTTAAAAACTAGCATACAAAGTAATGAGTTTCTTTTTTGCATTTTCATGCATCATTTTTGGTGTGCTTCCTCTCCAGCTTCCCTCCTGACTCTTTCCTCCACCCTGCTGGTTCTCTTCCTCCCTCCAAGCACCACCCTTCTCTGGTTTCATGTTTCATTATTTTTTCTCTTTTTATCCCCATATTCTACCTTAAGATCTCTTTTTCCTCTCATGGTTCCTTTCTCTAGTTTCATCTCTGTCACACACACTTGCAGTGTCTATCTCTCTGTCTCCATCTCTCTCTTACACACACAAACATACACACACACACACACACACACACACACACACACACACGAATGTGCATATGAGATGAAACTCTCATTTTTATTGTTTACTATTATTATCATTACCTCCCCTGTGGTATCTGTCTTTAGGAGTCTGGCTTAATTCACTTAACAAAATGATCTCCAGTTCCATTTTTCTGCAAATATTATAATTTTCCTTTATTATATAAATGTCCTACATTTATTTTATCTAGTATCTGTTTATGAACATCTAGGTGGGTATATACCGAAAGGACTCAAATCCTACTGCAGAAATATTTGCATATTCGTGTTTATCACCATACTGTTTACTTCCTTTTTCTTTTCATATTTGTTGCTAGGGGACAGATGAACCCAGAGAAGAAAAAGACCCTGGAGAGAAGCCCATTGTTAGGATCAATACTTCATTGTTTCAGTGCCTTTGGTTGCTCACTAGTGCAACCAAAATATGCAGGGCACATACTTTTCCCTCAAAGCACAGTGACTGCTGGATTCAGCTTCCTTCTGGGCAGCTGTTCTCCCAGTGACTGACCTTACCAGGTGCCTTAGAAAAGCATCTACTCTGAAGTATCTGCTCGAGATCTGAAGTGCAGCAGTGTCCAATACACCCTGGCACTTCTATCAATGATGGATACCTGCATCCAGTGACATCATAGAGCTGAACATGTGGTAGAATGGCTTGCATGGGGTTCAGAAAATAGTGCGGAAGTGGAAAACCTACTTTGATCTCATCATTGAAGAGGTGCAGCAGGTGGAGTTTTCTTTTGTCATCAGCTACATGGTTTGTAGTAGGTCTTGAAGCCCATCTTATGGAGGACTTCTTTGTCACAAAGTAATTAAGGAAGAAAATTGATGCTTAAAATTCATTTGCTATATTTAGTTTATTTTCTGATTTCATGAATAACAACAACAGTAATAATAATTCTTGTTTGAGTATGATATATAACATATATATGTGTATGTTTTTATCTGATGCTCCTGGCTTATAATTACCTCCCCAAAGCATGCTACAAACTGTAGAATTTCTCTTATACAAGGTGAGTCATATGATCTCTAATACTTTTGGTATGGTCTGCCAGAAAGAAATTCTCTGACCTACCTTATCATAAGATTCCCATTTCAGTAAGAGTTATGCCCCACATTACAGAGGAAAGAACATTTGCATAGAATGGTCAGGAAAAATCTGGACAGGCCTTGTTGTGTTTTGCAAACCAGTCTGTTAGCATAGATCATATTATTTGTTCAGTCACATTGCTACATGATTATCTATCTTTCAATTATGCCTATGAAAGTCTTTGCAAAAATATGAAAGGAGCCAGGCGTTGGTGGTGCTCGCCTTTAACCCCAGCACTCAGGAGCCAGAGACAGGCGGATTTCTGTGAGTTCGAGACCAGCCTGGTCTACAAGA